CCCCCTCCTCCCCCTCTACCCGGAGCGGGAATACCCCCTCCACCCCCTGCACCCCCTCTACCCGGAGTGGGAATACCTCCTCCGCCCCCTCTGCCTGGTACGGGGATTCCCCCACCTCCTCCCTTGCCAGGTATGGGGATTCCACCTGCTCCAGCTCCCCCACCCCCTCCACTTGGGACAGGAATCCCTCCGCCCCCTCTGCTTCCTGCATCAGGCCCTCCACTCCTCCCACAAGTCGGGAGTAGCACTTTACCAACACCGCAAGTGTGTGGATTTCTTCCTCCTCCATTGCCAACTGGCTTCTTTGGATTAGGGATGAATCAGGACAGAGGGAGTAGGAAGCAGCCCATAGAGCCTTGTCGACCAATGAAGCCTCTTTACTGGACCAGAATTCAGCTACACAGTAAAAGGTAACACGACAGTGAGCTCATCTTTGCACAGCACATGTCAGTATTAGGGAAGTGTTTACTTCAAATTCAGGAAAATTTCCCCATGCATGTATTTTTGAGCACTGCTCTAAAACTTGTCTGTTGATGTTTACATCAGTATATAGTGAAGCAGTTTGCTATTTAAAGCTTTAGGCTTTTTTCCAGAGGTACCGAAGGCATAAAACAAATACGTATGTGTATCAGCGTGTGAGACGTAGGTACACCCGTCTATATAGTTATTGACATATCTCAAAGGTTGAGGGATATATTTTTCGTAGCATATAATAGTCTGTTATCTAGTTGTAAGTCTGCTACTTATGCCTGAATTCCAGTAAAACTTTGCTTGTATGCCCTCTGGAAAATGAATGAGGGCAGATAAGCAGAGAGGCATTTGTAGCCAAATTATTTTCCATATAAGAATTTACTCTTTGCTTTCACTACTTCAAGTTTCCATTTCTGACGAACAGCTTAAAAATGTAAATCAGATCCTTGGGTAAACTTGGGTAAAATGCACAGCCCTGCATTACAGTTCTATCTTGCAGGCTTTCTTCGAAAACATGCTACACAAAAATATACGTAACCACACCCCAAGTGTGAAATAATTTAGTTTTGAAAATTTCATGGCACTTGTGTTGATCATTGGCAACACAGTACAAAGTCATAAAATCATAACTGAGAATGATCATCATAAAAAAAGACTTTCCACCAGGTATTCTGGTGGCATTCGATAGACCCATGCATCGTCTATAGCCGCTTCCTAGTCATTGAGACAATGCTGTGATGCTTGGCTGTGGAATATTTAGGTGGTAGGAAAAAAAACCGCACACTTTAAGCTTCACTGTCCTTCCTTGTTCTAACGTTTCATGATGTCTTGAATTTTCTTTGGGTGATGTGGCATGCATTTAGAAACAGGGCATTTACCAGGTTCGTTTTGATTTTTTATGTGAACTTTTGTATTCACTAAATCATATCGGGGGCAAGAATCTGTGTATTCTGACGACTTCTGATTTTTTAGCTCATCTGCTGTGTTGTTACCAGGCACTTACCTATGGGGATGATTCATTTTAAACTGTACTCCAAACTCATTTTCTCCAGCTATAAGATAGGGGAAGTTCTTGTGTTTCGTTGTTGCTTTGCTTTTAAAAAAAAATGTGTTTACCCTTTTCAAGTGGTACTACATGAATCTGCAGTCACTGAGAAGCCAAATACAATGGGGTGATGGGAGGCAGTAGGAGGGCGAGGATGCCATCCTGTAAATATGTATTTTTTAACCCATGAATAATCTGCAAAGTTGATGAGTCGAGTTGGGATTTTGAGACAGCAAGCATTTCTTGCCTCCCTAGCTCATGCTTAGATAGGTTTTCCTTTTACGTTTTTATACAGTGACCTGATGACGGAGAGTTCCTGGAAATTATTTCCAGGGAAAGATTTCATTCATGGATGGTATTTTAACTTTCTCATGAAGTTGATAAAAACAAATGGTGGTCTTAAAGAAAAAGAACATTATTTCCTTCTTATCTTTCTTTTTCTCTCCCTCCCTCCTGCTGGCCTTCCTCCCTCCCCTTCTTCCTGTTTATGCTTACTGTGAGGTAGTTTGGTTTGATGGCTGTTTTATTGTTCTTTTACTTAATTTTAGAGACTCCGGTACTTCACTTATTTGGGAAAAAATTGAAGAGCCATCCATAGATTGTCATGAATTTGAGGAATTATTTTCTAAAACTGCTGTAAAGGAGAGAAAGAAGCCTATCTCTGATACCATCTCAAAGACAAAGGCTAAACAAGTGAGTATTTTTGTGCTTTGTGAAATTGGACAGTGTTTCTGGTATACGTGTGAACTGTCATTAGAGAAATCTTTGAAATAGTTTTTGGGCTGTGTAAACCTTCGTGGACCTTAGGCAGATAGCAAAGGTTGGAACTTTAGAACATGTGGTTAAGACAGACTAGCTCAAATAGAACAACACATAGTGATCTCCATCCAGTGATAATGTTCTGACTTTTATTTGTAATTTCATAATACATATTTCCAAAATCTCAGCCATTGTTTCTCTCCAGAATTAGTTGCCTAGTAATAAATTTTCACTTGATTTATAGCCATCTGAGTGTTCCTATGGATGGAAAGAAAGGAAAGTGTGGGCAAAGGAAAACAAGCAAGAAATCCAATCCTTAGTAACTGATAATGTGTTTGGTATTTTGTCGCGTTCTATCTGAAGTGGAAGCCATTAGAATCCAGTTAAACAGTCAAACTGTACTTGAAATGTGGAAGAGAAACTTTGTATCCATTTCTGACCTCTCCATTTTATGTTAGATTCTTTGATCTAACCTGTGACATTTTGAGTCATAAAAAGAAAGATGGTGCATTTCGAGAAAAACACTTCCAAGCAAAATTTTTCAGCTGATATATTCACTGGATTTGTCATAAAAGGATGTTGTTATAAATTTCTCAAGGGTGTCATTTGGAAGGTGGAGTAAAATCTCACAGGAATGAACTCCAGGTAGAAAGAATTACTAATGGTGCCCATTTTTAGCCTGAAATAGTGGCTACATTTCTTAACTTCTGCAGGGTGGCAAAAAAGAGGACTGGGAAGCAAAGGAATGGCAAGCAGCTCAGCCTTAGGAAGCAAATAGGGAAAAATGAGGCTGATATCCCCAGTGTTCTTGCCCAGTTGCCCCAAAGGAGTTCTAGGAAGTGGGGTGATTCTTTGAATTTTTGCCACTGATCTGAAAGTAGTAGCTAGGCACATGACCTGGAGTTGTTTCCATTGATATTTATTTCAGAACAGACAATTTTCACCAGACAGACACTGCAAAATCCATCCAGGAGAAGACAGATTTCAATGGGACAGTTAGACCCCGGAGACCTGTAGTTGGCTATTAATCTCAGAATAATGCAAACCCAAACATTATGCAGTTAAATTCTTTTAGAAATGTTTAATGCGTTGTAGCTTGTTGCTGGTGACCTCAGATCAGTAACTGTAGTAAATGAGATGGTACCTGGCACATTGTAGGCACTCAATAAATATTTATTAAATTAGCCAGACTACTAAGGGATGAGGACTTTATAAATATCAGTGGCTATGCCCAGTAGTGATTAAAAACCAGAAAGTTACTCATTTCATAATAGTAAGTCCAGGGTGACAATGTTAGGAGGAGTAGTGGAAAACCATGTTTTCTCTGGCAGAGATAAGTATTTTAGACATCTTTTTCCATGGTATATTTGCATATATTACACTGAGGCTGAGTCATCATAGTGCTTCTTTTGGGTTGTGTCAGAGATGTGAATTCTGTCTGGGAGATGAATATGGGTGGGGTTTATGTTGGTTGAGGAGCGTCAGGCGGCTAGAACGTCACCTGACAAATGTATAGATGTGGCATGGAGCATCTCTTGTCCAGGGGCTAAATACTCAGAATATTGAGCCATGCTCTCCCTATTCCCAGCGCCACTTTTTTTTTTTGGGGGGGGGGTGGCTAAGAGAACACAGATAAGGAAGAAGTCTCCCAGGATACCCAGGGCTGTAGGATTTCAGGCTCTATTTGATATAGTATTAAGTTTTTAGCTTACTGAACTATGATTTACATCTAAATCATCAAACTTCAAATTAAACTAGTTGGCATGAAGGGCTCTCTTTGCATATAAACAGTGCATCTGTGTTGAGCATCATCATCTTAAGGTAATCTCCTCATTCTGTCATGAAGGCATTTCATAAATTGTAGGTAAGAGACTTTGCCAATATCCTCATTGTTTATTGATAGTGACACTACTGTTGACCTTCAGCTTCAAACAGGGTTTATGGGACAGTCTCCATCAGGACTCCAGATAAACTTATTCAGCAACTCCTTGGCCTGGGTCTTGGTGCTGAGCTCTATATTTCAGATCTGTTTTTGAAGGGATAAAATATTTTTTTAAATGTGTGTTAGAGAAAAAGTGACGGATTGCTGAAGAAACTGTTTTATTTAACTTCATTTTATTTGGAAGACAAATCTGTCTATTCCATTTACTTGAGATATTTAAAATTTTGTTTAAGGAAAGTATATTTTCAGGATGCATGCAAATTGTTCCCCTTTTTATGGGAAATGTACACTGATTGTATGTCCAGACATTTTGGTACCTTATGATTCATTCCCAGTAAAATTAATAGCCTTTAATGCTATGGCATATGTTTATGGAGGTATTTCAAGCAATTCTTCTTATATACAATGGAAGCTGGAAGTTCTGTTTTTGTTTAAATATTTAAAAATAGCCAAATTATTTTTCTGTCATCTGTCTTCTCCTTGAAAGTAAGACTGTGGTTGAATGCACTGGTATTTAATGAGGTGCCCGTGCTGTTTTTACTGTCATGGCAGAGACATTTTCAGTGTGATAGTAGAAGAATCCTCAGCTGGATGCATTGCCGTTTGGCATAAGGAGAAAGAGGGTTATTTTCTCTGGATGCTCAGACTAATAGAAATGAAGAATATTTTGTATTTCCAAATCCTTTTTTCTCCAAAGAACTTACGACAAAGCATTTTATATTTGGCTCATGGAGCATGAATTTAAGTTTGTTCTATGATGATTTCTTCATTTATCCTTTTTTATTTTGAAATATTAAACAAAAGATTAGTTGAGAAGATCCTTAGAAGTTTATCAGACTATAGTTTGACATAGTTTTTCCTAACCAAATGAGTGTGGCACTTTCATGTTAGAATTGTCTAATGAAGAACACCGTTTCTTAAGGTATAAAGAGGAAAATAGAAAAAGTGATCTTATATGTTGTTCATGTTTAAGTATTCACACACCTGCCCACTTTTAAGGAAGGCTGTAGGGCCAGTAAACGTTTAGTCCAATCTCCTCCCTATTTCCAGGTTAGTTCAGTGATTATTAATGTTGGTAATGACCCTAAGTTGCCTCAGGATCTTTGGTGATCAAATAAAGTCTATAAAGTTTAACCTGCTGTGTGCAGTGTCTCAGACCTGTAATCCTAGCACTTTGGGAGGCCAAGGCAGGTGGACTGCTTATGCCCAAGAGTTGGAGAATAGCCTGGGAAACATGGTGAAATTCTGAAATCTATAAAAAATATAAAAATTAGCTGAGTGCAGTGGTGCACAGCTATCATCCCAGCTGCTTGGGAAGCTGAGATGGGAAGATCACCTGAGCCCGGGGAGGTTGAGGCTGCAGTGAACTGTGATCATGCCACTGCACTCCAGCCAGGGTGACAGAGTAAGACCGTGGCTCAGAAAAAAAAAAAGAAAGGAAAAGAAAATTTAATCTGAGCTCATTAGCAGGAAAGTGAGAGAATTTATTTTGGAATGATTTTGATAATAAGTGTTGCCTAGTGTCTGGTTAATCTTGTATCAGATGATGTCACAAGGAAATATATTTTGGTAAACACAGTCGTAGTAGTGGTAATAGTAATAATTATTACAAAAGCAATTACCATGGAAACCACTAGTCATATTGTGTTCATTACTTACCATGTACTAGTTATTGTTATTAGCACTTTACTTACATCAACTCATGTAATGCTCCTATCCTATGAGATTGGCACCGTTAGCCTCAGTTCATAGTATGGTTCATGTTACAGAAACTTCAGATAGGAGATGTAGAGGAATTCAGTAATGTTTCCAAGCTGGTAAGGGGCTGAGCTCAGGTTGAAACTCCAGCCAACTGGCTGCAGAGCCTCTGCTCTTCCTAATTAAGTGATAATTATGGATGTAGAATATTTTATATGAGTGTAAGTACAGTATTTTATATGGAGACCAGAATATGTACTTTAAAAAATGAATTAAATACTTCAAAAAAAAAGAATTTGAATGCATACTGGTATTTCATATATGTTCAGTATTTAAATGACTGTGGTTATAAAAAAAATTGTATGTGAGACACTTTGAAAACCTTTACCATATTTTAGCAGACTTCTTTTTCTTTTTTTTTTAGACGGAGTCTCGCTCTGTGCCCAGGTTGGTGTGCAGTGGCGCAATCTCAGCTCACTGCGACCTCCCCCTCCCCGGTTCAAGCGATTCCCCTGCCTCAGCCTCCAAAGTAGCTGGGATTACAGGTGTGGGCTCCCATGACTGGCTAATTTTCATATTTTTAGTAGAGATGGGGTTTCACCATGTTAGTCAGGCTGGTCTTGAACTCCTGACCTCAGGTGATCGGCCCATCTCAGCTTCCCAAAGTGCTGGGATTACAGGCATGAGCCATTGTGCCTGGACAATATTTTAGTAGATTTTGACAAGTACATAATCTGTGATTTCATCAACATGACGTCTGCCCAGTTAAATAAAAGTTTGAGTGGTGTGAGATTTAAATACGTAAGCTTCTGTAAGCAGTAAAAATAAGATCCATTTGCGTGTGTGGCATATAAGTTAGAGGCAGACAGCCACTGTGGTTAAACCTTGCCAAATGTGAAGTGATGCTACCTTTCATTTATCCCATCATACAAAAAGAATCATCTTTGTAAAATATGCCATAGGTAAATAACGTCTAATCATGTTTAAAGGGTCTGTAAAGGAACATGCTACCCAGAATGTAAATTTGCACATGGAAGTCAGCAAGAGTGAATAAGAAGAATCTGTTATTTTTTAACAAGTACATAACTGACATTTGTCTAACCATTTAATGCAGTACAATGAAATCGTTCTGTGGGTTTCTTCTGTTTATCAGATTAAAATTCTTTGCCCAAAGGATGGGAGAAAAAGTATTTATAATAGATATTCATTGGACTTTAGCCTCTGGAAATCTGATTAGAAAAATAGATAGTTAAATCTACTACTTATTATAAGAGCAGGTAATAAAAGGATTTGT